TGATTCGTACGTGGCTTTCCACATCGAGGATGGCGTTCCCACGTCGTGGGGTTCAGTTTGGGTGGCTGGTGGCCGTGGTTCCAGCAGAGATAATCGGACAGAACCACCGATTCCTAGCATCTCACTTAAACTGCCACGTGAGTCGTACGAACCGGACACTTCGGAAGCAGACTTTGACTTGAAGCGTGTCTCTTGTTCAAGTACTGTTGCTGTTCAACTCGTCTCCAATGCTGAGATGGAACGCTAATAGGCTACACGAGAGTCACGAGTGTCTCCAGTCATTGTTCACGACTGTAGTGACCAGGTTTTCGAAATCACGATTTTCACAAGATCTACTCCTGTAAATGGCATTTTAAATGGCCGAATGTGAATTTGCAGAACTCTTCAAAGAGCGGATGGTGTATTCAGGGAACTCGGTAATATTCTGGTGTAACTAAACCATTCTGGATTGACCACGTTCCGTTCCTCCATTACAAAGAGCATCACAACAAAACAACACAGGCAGCAGAAAGCAATAGTTAAAATCTCCGTGATAGAAAGGAGAACCGACGCGATATCCACCTAGAGGATATATCTGAACTGGGGGTTCTGCCACTTGATCAGCATACTTGAACCCGTTCGAGAGCCAGGAAGTAAACGTACCTTCATGTCGGTGAGATCGTCCTCATAGGCGTGGTCAAAGCCCTCCATGATACCAGCCTTGTCACGCTTATTGTTGTACCAAATGCAGACAAATCGATAGACAAGGCCGAGAACTCCTGCAGCCAAAGATGTAATCACAACAACGATAAAGCCAGGAGCATAATTAGGCGCATCTTCCTTCCGAAACACCAAGGGTCCGACAAAGTTACCTGCTCGTGGAATTAGCCATCGTGAAGTTGTAGTCTAGCCGAAGACAGATTTGACATACCAAGGCAGTAACCAATATAAAGGCCGGACGAAGCAATCGATCGTTTGGTGTAACCCGAAGTGTTGGCGATCTGCAGGCCCATAAGAACGGCATATCCTCCTCCAACGGACGGCAAAATGTAGGCAGCAAAGAGAAGAGCACCTTTGGCTGACCGCGGCAATAGCCACAACAAGAGGGCAGCGAGAGTGGTTCCCATCTGAGCACCAAACACAATCCAAGTGCGGCAGTTCTTGAACTTGTATGCCAGGTATGGCATGAGGAGTTGTACAGTGCCTCCATACGCACCCGCCGGCATAGTAAGTAAGAGGGAATTGAGAGTGCTGAATCCAAAGCCGTTGATGATGATGGGAACAAATGTCGAGATGGGTCCATTTGCAATCATGCAGAGGAATGCGATGGCGAAAACCAGCCAAAACTTGATGTCAAGACCGAGCTCGCCGACCTGCTCCATCTTGTAGTGAGTGTTGCGCACGCCCGAGTTATTGCTTCGCAACCGGGCTACCAAGATGTACCTTTCTCTATCGTTGAAGCCCTTTGCGCGAATGGGGTCGGGAGGGAGGACAAAGTACAGGAGCAGACCCCAGACAATTGTCAGCGACCCGGCAAAGTAGAACATGTATCTCCACGAAGAGACTCCGCCATTGAGCTTGCCGAAACCGAAGTTGATTAGGGGAGAGAAGATCGAAACATAGCCCGTGCAGCTGTACCAAATACTGTGTATGAATGTTAGTATACTCTCAAACTCTCCTCGAACCTCTCAGGCCTATATGTCGTAGGTGACTGACGTACCCCATTCGCATGGCTTGCTCGTTCTTCTTGTACCAACTTCCGACAATGAGCATAAACATTGGGCTGATGCCGCTCTCCAGTAGTCCAAGGCAGAACCGCTGAGCGTAAAGGTCGCGATAGTTTCTGCATACAGTGGTAAGGATCAAGGTGAGACCCCAAAGAGTGACAATAACCGAGGCGACTCGCTCGATTGGAAATCGTTGGGCCAAAATCATAGTCGGATAGGCACCAACAATGAAACCAAGGTAAAAGATGGCGGCCGACATCGAGTATCGATCACCGACCGTCAGGTCCAAGTCGGTTCGCAATCCGAAGAGAGCCTGTGTAACAGCAAATTAGCGGCACGATGGGACACAAGGTCAAGGACCTGACTGGATAGCACGGAGTCTTTACTTACCGCCTGCGAAAGCATGGCCTTGTCATAATACTGGAGACCGTATGTCATGCATAGCACTGGCATCAATCTCCAGTCTATCTTTCTTCTGAGTTTCTTCTCTTCTTTCTCTGTCCATTCATAGTCGCCGGTGTAGCCTTCGAGCACCTTGAGTGCCTCGTCATTGTGGACTGTGTCAACAGCGGCGCTCGTCTTCATCTCTGCAACACCTTCAGGGCGCTCCACTTGCTGAACACTCTCTGCAGACTTAGCGGGATCAGACATGTTTGCTGAAACTTGAAATCGGATGTCAACTTGTAGGATCCCGAACAGATGGCAACATCGTACGAGGGAAACCAAGGCAATGTTATAAAAGAAGCAGGTCTGCCTTAGCGCGACCTGTAATCCGGGGAACCGCGAGCTAACGAGACTTCTCCATTGACAGACTGCAATGCAGGCAGGAGTAGTTGACTGGGGGAGGGCGCTGGATCAGTCGGCCTGCATCGAGAACGTGGCCCCCCAATCCCGGGGGTCTGGATCACAGCGTGGCACTCAGTGGGTTGGGTGGCTGTCTCACTGACACGGCATCTCGGTAATTCAATACGGGTTACCGGCCACAAGAGACCTTGCGATGTTGGGGAACAACTACACCGCTTAGGGGTAACCGACCGCCGAAAGCGCCCGTAAACAAGTTGGAAATTCTCCCCCGCAAGGCCATAGCTCGGCGCTACTGAGGGGCCGGCAGATCTTTCTGTGGTTCCTATCAAGCCCCTTGTTGACGGCTTTCTTTCTCATGACCGAAGCAAACAACCCGAACAAACAATTGCATAGGTACTTGAGACCTGCTTGAAGTCAGACAAAGTTGGCTTGCCATTGACTAGTATTCTAACAGCACCTCACATTTCAAACCCGTAAATCCACAAGCGAAGCGTCAACATGTCACTGAAAGCTCCTGTTGTTACGTTGCCAGGAGGGAGGGAGACGGTGGTTGTCAAGATGATCAACCCTGTCAACTTTGGGCCGGCTATCCTCAAGCGTTTCATGGCTCCAGATGTTCCGGGCCTGGAAACTTTCAGGACGTCTCCTTCTCTCTGCTTCCTTCTGGAGCATCCTTCAGGTCGGAAGCTTGTGTGGGATCTAGGGATCAAGAAAGATTACAACAACTACGCGCCTTCGATAACCAGTTACTTGCCAACAACAAATTACGACATACAGGTGAAGAAAAATGTGGCGGACATTTTGGAAGAAAGTGGTGTTGCTACGGAGGATGTCGAAGCAGTAATCTGGAGGTACGTAGAGAAAAAGTCTTGTTTCTCCTTCAAAACATTCTTTACATGAGGTTTACTACAGTTCTCTAACCTACTGTGTAGCCACTGGCATTGGGATCATATTGGCGACCCATCCACATTCCCGAAAACAACCGACTTGATTGTTGGGCCAGGGTTCAAGGCGGCGATGCTTCCGGGCGCACCTGCAAATCCCGAATCTCCTATACTCGAGAAGGACTATGCGTAAGTTGTTGAAGCACCCCTGGATACGATCAATCAGAACTTGTAACAAATCGAAACTTACGCATTCAAGTGGCCGGAACTTGAGAGAAATCTCATTCGAAGAAGGGCCTCAGACCATACGCATCGGGCGGTTTCCGGCATTCGACTACTTTGGAGACGGCTCGTTCTACCTGTTAGACAGCCCAGGCCATGCCGTGGGCCATCTTTGCGGACTAGCCCGGACAACACAAAGTCCGGACACATTCATTCTTCTTGGAGGTGATGTCTGTCACTACGCAGGAATATTCCGACCTTCGAAGCATCTGCCCGTTCCCGCGTCAATCTCTCCACATCCTTGCCGGCCACACGAAGACACCGCACTTTGTCCTGGCAGCGCTTGGAACGAGCTCCAGCAGTCTCGGGGCAGAGCCTCCACAGATACGCTCTTCGATGCAACGTTTGGTTTGGACCTTCCTATGGTGGGAAGGACAGTGGGATGTCTCCAAGAATTGGATTGTGACGAGAACATCTTTGTCATTATAGCACATGACTCGACAGTCAGAGACGGTGTGCCTCATTTTCCAAGTGACCTTAACGACTGGAAATCAAACGGCTGGGGGGAGAAAGTCAAATGGTCTTTCTTTCGCGACCTAGAGTCGTACTGGGACTCGAAGGGGCTGCTGTAGTTATCGGGCCTAATTTATAGAATACGCATCGTCCTGCAGTTACCCACCAGACTGTCCTGAAAACTTACTAAGGCACCTGCAGAGTCAACCTTTATTTAACTTTCGCTTGGCTCCAGCACTCTATTAATCCGCGACTTGGTGTCCCGAAGTCATGTGAATCCTCACATCCCATTTGTGTCATTGAACACTAAGTACTCAGTAGACACTGAAAGTTTAGTCACTTGACGACAGCTCGCTGCAGAGAAACCTCTTCGGCAACTTCATTCTGTGCCGTAATCAGTACCGTAGCGGCTGAAGAACGGGGGAGGCAGTATTTACATGGTCTGAATACTCTGAGTCGCCTGCTAGCCCCTTTAACTATGGTTGGCAATTCACCTAAGGGCTGCATTGCGGTATTACAACTGGAGCATTTCGGCACTTTCCTGATTGGGGTAGCCGAACCCACCGAGCGCGCCGAGCCGAAGTTTGTTTGTCTTCCGCGGTAAGGTTGGGTGACATTCTACCGCCGGCATCCCCGCGAATCCCCTCTTCCGTCTCCACCCAATTCCAAGCCTCAGATCTCTCTAGACCAACTGCGTTGCTCACTGTTCATTATAATTGTGCAAACACCCTAATCCACAAAAGACCACAGAGCATCGAGTCCTACTTTTATATCGATAGTACTTCAAGCCCAGATTCGGAACTGTCGTGAATACAGACGCGCGTCAGAGTTCAAGTCAAGCCAGGACTTCGCACAAAGCATTACACCAACCATGGCACAGGGGTCCGAATCGAAGCCCAATGGCACATCGCCATCAAGCTTCCAATCTGCTAATCAAGACCTCGATTACGATGTCTTGATAGTTGGTGGCGGCCTCAGTGGGATCTTTTCACTTTATCGAGTGCGGGAACTGGGGTTGAGAGTAAAAGTCCTTGAAGCCGGTTCTGCCGAAGGAGGCACTTGGTTCTGGTATGGCCACTTTGCAGTAACGATATGTGAAAATTGAGCTAACTTGACTGTAGGAACCGATATCCTGGAGCTCGATTTGATTCAGAGAGCTATTCCTACATATTTTCCTTCTCTCAAGAAGTGTTGGATGAGTGGGATTGGACTGAGCATTTCTCGCCTCAGACGGAGACTCTACGCTACATCCAGTACCTCACCAAGAAGTTCGACCTGAAAAAGGACATGCAATTCAACACGCGTATCCGGTCAGCTCGCTTCCAGGAAGACACAAGGTCTTGGCTTTTGACCGATGGAAACGGTGCCACTTACACATGCCGTTACCTGGTGACAGCGATGGGTATTCTCAACGAACCCACTCTGCCAAATATTGCCGGAGTTCACAACTACAAGGGAGAAGCATGGCACACGGCCCGCTGGCCTGGAGACGGCGCCAGTCTTGACGGCAAGCGCGTGGCCATCATCGGCACAGGCGCAACTGCCATCCAGACGATCCAGGAAATTGTCAAGACAGTTGGCTCTTTGACTGTATTCCAGAGGACGCCCAATTGGACTGCACCACTACGGAATACAAAGATTAGTCCAAAGGAGATGGCCGATATTCGGAGGCGGTATCCTGAGATCTTCCGTCAGTGCTTGGACTCTTACTCGTGTTTCATACATGTCGGTGACACAAGAAGTGTCTTTGACATGGAAGAAAAAGAGCGCCTGGACCATTGGGAGGAACTTTATGCACAGCCTGGGTTTGCAAAGGTGCTCGGCATCTCAGGCGACATTTATACCAACCGCGAAGCGAACAAACTGTACAGTGATTTCCACGCAAACAAAATCCGCCAACGCGTCAACGACCCCAAAGTTGCAGAGAAACTTATTCCGAAGAATCACGGTTTCGGCACTCGTCGAGTCCCGCTTGAAAGTGGCTACTATGAGGCATTCAACAGACCGAATGTCAGCTTGGTTGATATCACAGAGACCCCTATCGATCACATCACGGAAAAGGGAATCAAGACGAGCGAGGAAGACTTTGAATTTGATGTCATCATCTACGCAACAGGGTTCGACGCCATCACTGGATCGTTCCGGGCTGTAGACTTCCAAGGTATCGGGGGCAAACAACTCACAGATGTTTGGAGCGAGGGGATCCAAACTTTCCTTGGCTTAACTGTCAAGGGATTCCCTAACATGTTCATGGTTATGGGACCGCACCAGATGTTTGGCAACATCCCCCGCAGCATCGAGTATGCCGTAGAGTGGGTTGCAGACTTCATCCGGTATGCTCGAGACAATAACATCACATCTGTTGAGGCTACAGATGAAGGTGTCCGCATGTGGACGGATCATGTATGGAAATGCGGAGAAGGTCTTCTGGCTAACGAGGTGGACTCTTGGATGACAGGTGTCAACAAGAACCTCGCTCATAAGCAGAAGAGGTCTATGACACGGTATAATGGGCCTGCACCTGGCTATAGAAAGCGGTGCGACGAGGTGAAGGCCAGGAATTATTCTGATTTTGTGCTTGGATGATCTGATTGTAAGAGAATGTTGGCTGAGGTGGCATTTACTTGAGGATTTATCAAACACATGAGATCATTTTACAAGTACCAACGCGTTTGTACAATGAGGCTGTGCTATGTAACCTGAGGCTGGTGTCTTATCCTTGATCAAAATCATCAAGCCCTCTGAGTGAAGACCTCTAGATGTTGAAAGTGGAATCTCTAAGATCGCAACAGAAGACGTACATGCGCTGACAGGTAATACGCTTTCTGTTAACTGTTTCACGTCTAGATGTATTGAAGTTCCCCGCGCCTTGAGCTTAAACAGTGCTAGTCCTTCAGATTATTCCAAGCAACGGCGCCTTTCTAATGTTCATGAATCTTGAACTCTCCCGTGGCCGTTGGGTTAGTCAATGCCCAAGTAATCCCACTGTCCGTAGTGTCGTCCCAGTGTTTCGACGCTGATAACTTGTCTCCAAACCGCCTAAATCCGTGGGGAACGCCCTTGTAGACATGAATATCCGTGGGAACACTGTGCTATATTTCAGCGATCACTTGTCCGGGGTCCCAAGCGTAAGAACCACTCACCCAGCCTCTGTAAGCATCTTGGCGTATAGCAAACCCTCATCTCTCAATGCATCCAAGCCGCAAATTCCAAATGTCGTCGGGGGTAGTCCTTTCACCTGGTCTGGTGTTGCGTTACCAGGGTTAAGTCTCAGGTCGTTGGGGTCTGGGTTCTCAACCTTGAGAAGGCCAACGAAAAGGTCGATCATGGGTCGCGGCAAGATTGGGGCGCTTTCGTTCTCGGGGTACGATGAGACCGACGGATTTTTCATCTTCTTCAACAAGCCATCGTAACAATCAACATGCGCCAGACAAGGGATCATCAGAACCTGGCCTGCGATAGAGGGCAACCCCGAGGGGAGCTTTCCAAGGTGCTGAGCGAGTGTGAGTGAAGCTGTCAACTGTCCACCAGCCGATATACCTCCAACGACAATTTTGGCCGCGTCGCCATCGAGCTCCTTGATATTGGCATGCAACCAGATGAAGGCATCTTCCGCATCATTCCATGCTGTTGGGTAGACGTATTCAGGCGTATGGCGATAGTTTACGTTAACAACAAGCGCATTTGTGCTGATGGCAATGCGAGAACAAGTTGCATCTTCGGAGGTCAAGGTACCGAAAAGAAATCCGCCTCCATGGAAATAGAGGTAGACTGGCAGAGGCCCATCACCCGCCGCCTTGGGTCGATAGGTTCGGGCTTCGAGTGTTGCCCCATCACGTGTAGGGATTGTCCAGTCGCGTACTTGGACTTTGTCTGCCATAGGCTTCATGGCTTCCACTGCCAACTCATCGCGGACTTTATTCATGACATTCTTGCGTTCCGACGGAGAGAGGTCGGTTTGGGGAGGAGGAAGACCAGCTTCCACCGCTAGCCACTCTTCGCTGGGGCCGCCGTATCTCGAAAAGTCACACATACTTTCTTGCGTCTGTCCGTGAGAGGCTTCAACAGAGGTACCCGATGTTGTTTGAATCGAAAATGGCTAATTGAGATGTTCCCTCCAAGTTCTCTATGTCTGATCGCGAGCGACTAGGTTCTCAAAAGCAGAGCATAGGCCGAGGTTCGGTAAAGCCAACGCAATTAGTAATGATGAGGAGGGGCAATGAGCCTCAAGACTAATTTAGCCTCATAACAAGGACAGCGTGCCGAGGTTCTGCGGGGAAATAAGACCAACCATGCGCCTCATGTTTGCTGATTAGGGTCCCGTCATGCTGAGATTCGGCTTTGGGTAAAACCGGCAATGCACTAGGTCTGCTGCCAGCGGCTCAGCGAACAATACCTAATTACCGGGCAGGGCGTGCCGTTCTGGAATTTGCGCCATGCTTGGTGCTCATTCGCCTGGTAGCCGCTAATTACCACAACCCACAGGGTATTGTCAAGCTGAGTGAACCTTTCGGCAACATGCCCACCCTCTAATGCAGTCATTACATGGGTCCTTGTTGTTCTAGTGCAACCCCGCCGAAATCATGCTGCCCGGGTTTCCCCAAACGAGTTATCCGCGTTGCCGGTCCAGCTACTGTCGCGTAATACATCACGGGAACTTAGAGGTCAAACTCTTGTTAAGCTATTTTATATGAGATGTTGGGTAGATGTAGTATAATCGTGAGTCACGCGATAGTTTGTTATATCCAACAGTCACTCAATTCTTTGCCGAACAACGCATCATACACCACAGCCATGTCAGAAATTCCTAGCGAACCACCATCCCGATCCCTCAAAGGCAAGGTGGCCATTGTCACTGGAGCTGGGTGTGCAGGAGATGGCATTGGAAACGGGCGTGCCATTTCTATTCTCCTGGCCGATGACGGCTGTCATGTTGTTTGCGTCGATAGAGACCTGTCATGGGCGCGCAAAACCTGCGACTTGGTAGCTGCGAAACCTGGGAGAGGCGAAGCTCTGGCTGTTCAAGGGGATGTGACTTCTTCCACAGATTGCGAAAACATCGTTCAAACGGCATTGGAGAAATTTGGTCGGGTTGATATTCTAGTCAACAACGTTGGAATTGCTGGAGCCGCAGGTACCGCAGTCGAGGTGGACATGGAACAATGGGCAACGGGTCTCGATGTCAACGTTTCCAGCATGGTTCTCATGGCGAAGTATGCCATCCCAGCTATGCTCAAAAATGACGGGGAAAGCAAAGGTGCAATTGTCAACATGGGCAGCGTCGCTGGCCTGAAGGGAGGCACCCCGCACCTTTTATATCCGACGAGCAAAGGCGCAATTGTCAACATGACGCGAGCAATGGCGGCACACCATGCGAAAGATGGAATTCGCGTGAACTGCGTCTGCCCCGGGGTGAGTCTTCATCTTCATACCTTATACTCTCACCCAAGAACATGACAAAGCTAACGACGTGGCGTGTTCTATTGGGTTCACAGATGCTGTATACACCCATGATGTACGCTGGTGGAATGAGTGAGGAAGCCAGAGCTGCAAGGAAGGGAAGGAGCCTGCTAGGAACGGAAGGGAACGGCTGGGATGCTGCTTGTGCGGTTGTCTTTCTGGCCAGTAATCATGCAAGATGGATGACTGGTGTGATTCTACCAGTCGACGCCGGCACTACTGCAGCTGTTGGAATTGGGATGACCAAGGCTGCTAGTGTGAACGGCTAGTAAATGTGTACTTCTCAATACTTGAATGAACTTCAAAAGTCAAATGGAATTACTGAAGCCTTGGGGAAAGCATAAGGTATCAATGTTTGACTCAACTCCCAAGAGTTGAAAGATGCAATTCGTATGGTGGATCATCCGTGCATCAAAGCAACTCTGGCTTTGATTTCCCCTCTTTCCAAGCGTTCCAAGACATCGGGAAAGTCACTCAATTTCGCCGTCTCAACTCTGGGCCTAATGTTGCCTTTGGCAATGAGTTGCAAAACTTCCTTCAGGTCCTTTACCTGACCTCCATAAGAGAAGATGTAGCTGAGTCGCTTCCTGGTTCCAATCTTCATATGTATAGTGTTTTCGGTGTCGAGACTACCAATGCATAGCAGCTTCCCACCTCGACGAACTAAAGCTTCGTGTGAGACAGATTTCCCGAGTTAGGTGAATCGTTAAGATGTGGTTTTTCTTACCTATCTGCTGAGCATCCTCAAAGGTCTGATGAGTGCCGACAAAATCGAGGACGGTGTCGATTTTACCGGTCAATCCTTGTTCAATGACAAATTCTTGAACCTTCTTCCCTGGCGGAACCAAGTCTGCCCGAGGGACCCCAATGGCGGCAGCCTCTTCGAGCAGACTTTCTCTGATATCAGAGACAATGACTCTTGCCCCAATGTTCAGGACAATTTGAAGAGCATTGAATCCCAGGCCTCCCAGGCCGAATAGAAAAACGGTCTCATCTGCTTTGACTTCGCCTCTTCGATGAACAGCGTGGTAAGCGGTGGTAACGGCGTCAGTGGCCACCGCAGCCTCAGCGGGTGAGACTCCTTGAGGAACATAGGCAAGTCCACGGACATCGATAGCCGCGTACGGAGCATAGAATCCATCCTGACCGATGCCGGAATGATGGCCAACTTCGCATATCTGAGCTAAGTCCCGCGAACATTCATCGCAGTGGGAAGCGCCACATCCTGGAACAGCGTTCAAAGCCACAATGTCGCCCTGGCCATATTAAGTATTGGGATGCAATGATTGTGAAAAACCTTCATTAATGCTTACCACTTTGAATTCTGAGTCAAGAACTTGATCTCCAAGCTTGATAATTTGACCGCACCCCTCGTGGCCCTGATATGAAATTAGAAAGACGTAGGATTAGACGGCAAGTGACTTGAACCGTCGTACAAGAATGAATTTATCCTGAAACCAGCCGGGCTGCTTTTCGATGGTGAGAAGCGAGTGGTCACTACGACAGACTATGGTTGTTATGTAGTGAGTCACCATGATCAACACCTATGCAATTGTTTTGAGCTTACCCCCGGAGGCGAGCATCTTGCACAATACGCCCGTCGGCGAGGGCATGGGTACGGGTACCTCTTCCCAGACCTAATTTTGCACATTCGAATCATTAGCTCTGAGGTCCAGATCCAGTGTTTCCAGTACACGCACAGGATTTGGATTGCCCTTGTGCTTTCTCCAAGCAAACATAGTCTCGGGGATCTGCATGGCTATGGGCTTGCTTGTAGTGAATATCGAAAGCTGATGCTGTGATTCGATACTTGAGATTGTTCTGCAACGATGATGTCGAATTAAGTATTTGAGTATGACATGTTTGCACTCTGGCAGGGTTCATCTGGGTTCCTCTCCACCCAGACCACCAACGCTGTGACCGGCTTACTCATATAGGCATACCCGAAGTTTGCCGACAGACTACCTTTGGTCACCAAGTGCCTAAGCAGCAAGCTAGTGAGTGAAAACGAGAGAAATTGAAATGAGGATGAGGAGTTCACACGTTCCTGATGTCTCGAAGGTACTCTATTCATCACGGTTCCAACACTAACGAAACTTGTCATCTAATCTGAAACCCTCAGCAAGATGTCTCCCAAACAAACCTGACCCTTTGATTCACTCATAGCTTTGCTGCACGCCGCTGCTTCTCACGGTCTCTCAACAACCGTCTTAGTATCTTGCCCGAAGGAGACTTGGGAATCGCATCCACAAACTCGATGCCTCCCTTGATCCATTTGTGGGGAGCTTTCCTGGCCTGCACGTACTCCTGGATATCCTTCTCGGAACATGGCCCCGACTTGACAATGTAAGCCTTTGGGACTTCCCCGGCACGATCATCCGGCACAGAAATGACGGCACAATCCGCCACGCTTGAATGGCCCAATAGGCACGCCTCTAGTTCAGCCGGAGCAACTTGATGACCCTAGATGGCTTTAGTCAGTGACCGCAAATACTCATTGAATGTTCGAAGCTCGTACCTTGACTTTGATGAGTTCTTTGATTCGGTCCACGATCCAGAGGTGCTCCTTTCCGCTGGGTGCCTTCCGCATTTCCCCGACGTCTCCTGTCTTGATGAACCGACCATTCTCCGTGTGAACGAAAGTGTCGCGATTTGCAGACTCGTTATTCAGGTAGCCGAGCACAACACTTGGCGATTTCACCCACACCTCGCCCGGCTCGTTGTATGTGTCCACCCGCTTGCCGTCCGGGTCAACGAGCATGATCTCAAAGCCTGGCAAAATCAGGCCGGAACTGCCAACGACAATGTCCCTAGGCGTACCGGAAGTGACAACGACACATGTTTCTGTCATGCCATATCCGAGAGTTATCTTCCAGGAGGGATACGCGGAGAGCAGTGCATTAGTTGCCTCCAGCCCTAACGGTGCCGCCCCGACCCACACCCGCTTGACGGATGAAAGATCGTATTTCTTTAGTGTTTCAAGATTGTTGATCATTGCGATAACCAACGGCGGAACGAGATAGAGGGTGTTAATTTTGAAATACTCTATTGTGCGGAGGTATGTGTTCAAGTCGAACTTTGGTAGCACGATTACCGAGTCGCCCCTATATGTTGAGGCGTGACATATAATGATCAGGCTGTAGATGTGGGATTGAGGTAGAAGGCCAAGTCCAATGTCGCGATACGCCGGAGCAATGGCGTCTCGGTCTGCTTGATCAAAAAGTGACAATTGGATAATGTTGGCAATGACATTTTGGTGTGAGATCATGACCGCTTTCTGTTAAGTAGCATCAGTACGCAAGTTCAACAAAGGAGACAGATCTTTGGAGGCATCACTCACCGGTAGACCAGAGGTACCACTGGAGTAGCAGAGAAATGCTGTCTGTCTTTGTCCTTGACCACGATTCCACTTGATTGGCTCAAGTTGTGGCAAAGTTTGGCCTCGAAGAATAAGCTCAGCGACCGTTTCGTACTGTTCGAACTTCGCCTCCTGCTGGCCAGGCATGTCGCAGAGGTAGATGCAGCACTCTGGAATACCGGCAGCTTTAGCAGCTTTCAGTGCGACGGGCAGAAGAGACTGAACGGTGAAGAGCGCTTTGCACTTTGATGTCACGAGTTGATGTGTGAGCTCTTCTGCATTGTACATCGCGTTTGCAGGGGAAGAGATGCCATTCAAGCGATGGACGGCCCAGGATAATCCCATTATGTCCACCTGTTTTGCAGAAGAACGTCAGTACGCGCGTCATCTTTAGAAATCTTGAATTTCCAATCATCATAGAACTTACAGTGTTGAGAGCAAATATGCCGACCACCTTGTCGAACTCACTGCCCTGATTGACACTCCATCCGAATTCCTGAGCCAATGATCTCGCAAGGGCCTCAACACGACCTTTCTGTTCCTGGGCCGAGATACTGCTACCACTCAGTCCACAAGTATAGGGATCAAGAGATGTCGCAACGGGGTGCCGTCCATACTGCTCATCAAACATGAAATCGCAGAGGGGCACTGTGTCGGGAATGCTTGGGAGTTGGGGAAGAGATTGGTCAGGGACGAACAACATTGTGGCGGCGGGCTTCTTGGGCGTTTCTGAACCGATTCACTTAACCACCGAGAGCCACCAAACTGATTCACGAAAGGCTCGAGATCTGAGAATCCTTTCATTTATTAATAAGCAGTCGTTCATCCGGTGAGAGCTGTCTCTGACATGGAAATTGGCAATTGACCGCGAGGTTCGACTCTCTGCTAATCCCAATTGGGATTGCCGATAACCCCACGACACGCAGTATCCCCGCGGGCCGTCTCGGGGTTGTTAAACAGTACTTGGCTCGGGAGCCCATCCTTTCCAATAGCCCCACTAGAGTAGGCTCGGCTCCAGGCAAACAGGCACGGGTCACCCAGCTCATGCACGCTGAAATTGAGCCAACAATACTGGCTGTGCTGGCTACTTTCCGACATTGCGATCTTGCTGGCCACGTGGAGGCATGAGATCTAGCCCCAAGATCTAGGTAGTTGTATTTTAATAATGAAGTTCGCAGCCTACCTAGTACACCGGGCCAACAGCCGGCTCCGACGTCGGGATCGACTGGCACTGACTTCTATACCCACCTCTATCCGGATCAGTTACCGGTTTCGAGAGACAATATCGTAGTCGATCGTTGTTGAAATCGGATCTTGGGAATATTCCTTTGTCAGGAAAGTGTGCAGCTCGTTACACACCAGCGCCGCTTCGAAAGTCCGTTGGATAGAAGATTCAACGGTAGAGCTCACCACGACGGCTAACAATATCCAAATAGATTCTGACAAGCAGACTATTTCACCAAGGCAGTACGAGCGACTTCACATTCAGCAAGAAAGGATGCCATGCATTGAGGCGCCAAACGCCTTGAGGTTCTTTGCATCCTACAGCCTCTCGACCATGCTCCAGCGTCAGTTATCAGGGACTCTTCCCGGTTCCGGGCATAGTTCAGAACCTTATCAATGCGGAAATTGCCATTAATATGTAGCAGTACTATCAGCAGAATGGCAGTCACCCTGCAAGCGCCTCGCAAGACATTCAGGAGTGTTGCCTGTTGGTAGAGATGTAAATTCGTTACAAAGACATCAAGATAAGGGGGACTGTGCCAGAGTGACAGACTGGAAGGGCTCCGTACCTAGTCTAAGAGAGGCTAGATTCTTGGCCAAGCTTTTGTGGCGGGTCTGCATCAATCCAGAAGCGGCTAGTTTTATGGCCAAGACTTTAGCCGAGAGCGCTAGCACTTGGCATCTGGGGAACTGCGAATTCATCCACTTCCCGGCCCATATGTTCACCCATTCGTGTGCGTTCTGAGAACTTGAAACGCACCTCTGCTTATCACCTCGATAGATGCAAACGATAACCTCATTAACGAATACTCTTGTCAGTGAGTATCCGCCTTTTTGTCAAGTACTTGCGTTGGCAAACCGGTGTCGAAGTAGCACATGGGGGTTGTGGGATAGCATGAAGTGAGTTAGATGAAGACTTATTTGCTTCTCTTGATTCGCAACTATTTCGACATGTTTACAGATAACAGCGTAAGTACAAAGGTTCAGTCTCTCTTTATGTTGGATTCAGCCGTGACTTCGGGCTGATGCTCAGCCGTGCCATATATGACCCGTCCAGCAATGTCTTCAACTTGCAAATACGTCTGCCTTCCTTTGATGAACCAAAAGCTAATGCTGAATAAGAGGATAATTCCAAAGACAGCGATAGCATAGTTCATGTCAGCGATAGCTGGGTTGGGCTCGGCGGGGAAAAAGAAGAAAACAGTCGTAACCAAGCAATAAACAATCGAAACCCAATTGATGACAGCCCCATATCGACCAAGACGGAATTCCGCTGGGGGCAATTTGTTTCTCCCAACCAGAAGAAGCGTGAGTATGGGAATAGCGTAGGATATCGTAAGGGCAATGGTACTGACGCCGACGATGGCCTCCAGAACTGTGTTGGAGAAGGTGTAAAGTAGACCGACGAGACCGATGATGATTCCTTGTAGCCCAAGCGCGCGAACTGGTGCCTTCCAAGTTTCGTCCACATGAGAGAAGTAGGGACTCCACGGGATTCCTCCGTCGCGCGCAAAACTCCATGTGAGTCTGGACGCTGTCGTCAAGACAGTGACTCCCTGGCCCAAGCCATTGATGATGAAAAGAGCAATAAGGACGGCTGCCCCTTGCAGCCCAACCGTGCTTTTGACAAGATCCATAAAGGGGAGGCCTGTTGTCGGGTCGAGGACCTGTTCGAGGTCTTGAATGGAAAAGAGACAGACAACCATGAACAAGAATCCAGTACCTGCACCACAAATAATAGACAACCAGATGACCCGGGGGATGTTCTTTCGTGGTGCAGGTATCTCCTCTACGAGATGGATGGCGGCGTCGAAAGCCGTGAGTCCGTAGGCGCTCTGGACGAGGCCCATGAACCACACGATACCATCGCCCCATCCCGTGCGATTGATCCACGCTCCGAACACAAACGATGCGGATTGGAAATGGAGTCCGTCCCTGGTCCCAACCGATATGAGTAGGGCAAGTCCGAAAACAAAAAATAACCCGACAAACGTGATCCCAACAAAGTTGTTAAAAATGGGGAGAATCTTGTCCCTTCGACAAGAAATCATATTTAATAGAGTCAGGAGTATTGTCGTGCCAAGGTAAACCAGAAACTGGACCCAGCCAGTTTGAGGTGCCGTCGAAGTTTCGTCGAAAAGCAAGTTCATCCCCAAGATGAACTCGGTCATAAACGCTACGGTGGAAGCTGACAAAGTCCACCATCCAAAGGTATTGATCCAGGCGCAGAGGTACGACAAAAAGCGACCAGCTGAGGTAGGCCATAACCGTGAGACCCAGTATGCCTGACCCATAGCCGTTGGCATACTGCTGCACATCTCTCCTAGGGAAACGCCGATGCAAGTATTGCAAAAAGTGACCAAACACAGGCCCCAGAGGATGGTTATCGGACCACCGTTGGTGAGGCCGCTGGCCAGGCTTTGTGCAAAGACTGACCAGGTGCCTAGAACGACAAAGGCGAGCGACAACATGCTCCACGTGTCGAATTTGCGACTGAGAGCTTGCGAATGACCAAGTTCGGCGAGATCTACTGCATCTTGAGCTGCCTGATGCGACATGGTTGAGGGCTTCAACGTGGGACCTTGCTCAGCATCCATATTGATCGCGTGGACAGGGACGCTCGTGAGGCTTTGGACAACAGAGGTAGAAGCAGGGGAAAAGCTTGGTTGAAAAGACGAGATTGTGACATTCTCTTGTGGTAGTTGGTTGGCGTGTCTCGGCCAATACCCTCTTTCACGGCAGTGCACTACTTCTTATAATTATTTCCCCTCATCCTGATGTCGGATCTTCCCCCTTTTGGAGTCGATAACACTCGGAGTGAGTGATTAGTGTTGGCATATAATAACAACCTAATCTTTTTGGGGCCGGAGATACGCATCATCCGGGTAGATTCATCTACTGAGGAGTGGTCGACTCGTTATGCCGGTAACTCATGGTTCTCTCGCCCCCACCAGCCGGGCCGGTCCCACTAGTCATCAACGACAACGAGTCTAACAACATCCCTTGTCCCGGTCATCCCCGCGTGCGTCAGAGATCTGGATCGTAAAGCTGATACCCATCTGACCAAAGCTTGAACGGGCCGGCGAGCAAAAGCCCCAGTGGACTTCGTAGATGGCACGACATTTTACGTAAATACCATTCGTCAGTCGAGTGACCATGAGTATAAGTATAGCCGTTGTCTCTCAATTCTAAGACGGCGTTAGAAGCCTGTGTTCGCCCCCCTGTGCTTTTATACGATATTTCCGTCAACATGATCAAAGACACAAGTTCTCTTCCTGGTTACACAATCTTCCATCATGAAGAAGGCGACCAAGCCCCTGACTTGTCTAAGCAAGCAGTGATGCATCCTCTTGGTATGTCAAAGTCTTGATTTCTGACGTACGGCAATGCCTGCGTACCTGAGACGGTTGCTGGCAGGTTCAATTGCGATATTGTGAAGCTAATGTAATATTCCAGATCCGCTGTCAATCGACGAATTACGAGTTGCTGCCAGGCTCATCCGTGAGCACAGAAACGCTGGTTCGGTCAAATTCAATTGTCTGACTCTACGTGAACCTACCAAGAGCGAGTATGCAGAGTTCCGTGCAGGGCGAGGGCCGCGACCCGAACGGCGTGCCTTTGCTATCATACTGGCAGAGCGTGGTTCAAGCAAGGTTGCCGAGGTCATTGTCAATCTGGCCAAAGGCGAGGTTGAGACCTGGAAAGCAGTATCGGAGGTCGCACCGACCCTGACTCTTGAAGACCTCGACGTTACGGAACGAGTTGCCCGGCTGAACCCCAAAATCATTGAGGTTTGCCGTGAGATTGGCATTACCGATATGTCCAAAGTGTTCTTCGACGCCTGGGCCATTGGATTCGACCACCGTTGGGGGTTTGAACGGCGTCTGCAGCAAGGTCTGCCCTACTACCGAAAGTCATCAATGGACAACCAGTACGCACACCCCTTGGACTTTTCCGTGGTTGTGGACACCGAGACGGAAGAGGTCCTCGCTATTGACGTCCGACATGTCAACGGAGAACGGACCAAGGTCCCGCTGGACGAACACAACTACCTACCAGACTTCATTCAAGAGTCATACGATGGCACTAGGCTCAAGCCTATCGACATCACCCAGCCGCAAGGCGTTTCGTTTCGCATGCAGGGGAACGAGCTTTTCTGGGCGGGCTACAAGATGCATATCGGTTTCAATTACCGGGAAGGCATCGTGATCTCAGACGTGCGCATCCACGACCAACAACAACAACAAGATCGAACACTGTTCAACCGCATTAGCGTTGTCGAAATGGTTGTCCCGTACGGCAACCCTGATCCACCACACCAGCGGAAGCACGCCTTTGACGTTGGTGAATACGGCAGCGGCCTTATGACGAACTCGCTCAAGCTTGGCTGCGATTGCAAGGGCGAGATCCATTATCTCGACGCAGTCATGACGACATCCAAAGGCGAACCAGCAATGATCAAAAACGCGATTTGCATCCACGAGGAGGATAACGGACTTCTCTACAAGCATACGGACTTTCGTGATGGCAGTGTTATTTCAGCCCGTGATCGGAAGCTCGTCATTTCCCAGATCATCACGGCGGCCAATTACGAGTATGCTTTCTACCATACCTTTACTCTCGACGGCACATATAAACTCGAGATCAAGCTCACGGGCATGTTGAACACGTATTGCATGCACCCATCCGAGTCGGCAGCTCCGTACGGCACCGAGGTTGCGTCCCGATTGAATGCCCATAATCACCAGCATATCTTCTCGTTGAGAATTGATCCCGAGATTGATGGGCGAAACAATTCAGTGCTACAAAGCGACGCGGTACCATCGGACGCGCCCGTGGGATCACAAGAAAACCCCTTTGGCAATGGTTTCTACTGCAAAAAGACACCTTTGCGTACTTCTGAGGAGGGTGCTGCAGTGTATTGCCACGAGACGAGTCGGGCGTGGGATATCATCAATCCGAATAGCATCAACCCTTCAGCCAAAAAGCCGGTTGGGTACAAAATCATCAATCCCAATTGCCCGCCTCTTCTGGCCAAACCAGGGAGCATGGTGTACAAACGGGCGGCGTTTGCTCGCAAGAGTCTTTGGGTAGTGCCGTACAAAGACTACGAGCTTTTCCCGGCTGGGGACTACGTCTGTCAGTCGACGGGAGAGGAGCATCCGCATAACCAGACAATCGTGGATTGGGTGGCTCGGAACGAGTCTATCGAAAACACAGATATTGTGTGCTACATTCAATTTGGTCTCACGCACTTTCCCCGGACGGAGGACTTCCCAATTATGCCAGCAGAGCCGGTGAGCGTGATGCTGCGGGCGTCCAACTTTTTTGAGAAGAACCCAGGACTTTGGGTACCGCCGTCGTCGGTGTGTGTCGATCGGACGTCCAAGGATGCATTCTGCGCCAATGAGGGGAAGCGTGGTTGCGCTCGGTTGTGAGGAATGGTATCCGTACCCACACGTTGATCAGTGTGTGAAGACTGGTGAGAAATAAACAAGGTGGAAGACATATGGTTGAAATTGTCGTATTTGGATTTGTAGAAAAGCGCAGTGTGGATGAATGTCATTTACTCACCCGAAATTTGGTGTTTGGTGGCGCTTCTAATGAGAGTCCGGTGAATCGCACAGACGGTGGATGAGAAGGGCAGGACGGAGATTGTGACAAGGGTTGCGTGATGTGACCGACAGTAAGGTATCCGTGCCGCGGGCCTTATGTCGAGTCCGTCATCCAGGCGGTCTGCAGAAGATGCACAGGCTTGGTACCTACGAAGTAACCTACCTAGGTACCTTACCTCAGTAGGTAGTATGGTAGCCATGGTCCAATTGGCATCTTTTGCTTTGGAATTACAAGTGAAGAAGGCGGATGACGATGCTCGAGTAAAGCGATGCCGTGACGCGTTGACGTGCTTATCTTCAATGAGTTGGCATGTCAGGGGTGTTTCCGTTGCTATATGGCTGGATCGTGACGTCCAACCCGGCCTAAGCTTGGGTGCCAATGACTCAAGTAAGATCTGAACATGTGGATCCAGTGAGATGTTCCGCAGAAGCAGCCGCAGCCTTCGCTGAGGTATTGACGGTGGGAGATTGCATGAGAAGATGATGAGGGGGACGACTCAATTGCTTTACATGTGCTTGAACTTCTCTTACTAAGGTATGTAGGTCTTCGTGGACCGTACCTAAGTAAGCAGGTAAGGTACCATGCGATGTACGGAGGGGAGACCCCTCATGCCCAAGACAAGGTAAAATAGCTTCATACCTGAGGCAGCAGATATTTCCCCTCTTCTCCATTGGATTCTGCCATCTTCTCCCCTCCGAGGCAGAAGCATTGAGGGAAGGTAGTCACCCAAGCACCTTCCCAAGCTGTACAGAGTAAGTACGGATTCAGACACAATGTGTTTGTTTATATCCAATGGAAGGTATCATACGGGACACACATTGTTTCTCTTTGCCGCCGCCATGTGCCAGTACCACCTGAAAAAAAAAGAAAAAAAAAAAAAAAAAAAAAACTTTGCGCCCAACGGTAAAGAAACAGCAGTAATTAGCAGCCATTGAGAGGCCCCCACGTCTTTGGCAGGAAAATCCTTGACGGGCCCGTTGGTCAATGGTCACACAATGACAGGTCCCTGAGCGCCCAAAGTGTGACCTCAGGCCATACAGAGGTATCTTTGTGGACTGTGGCCTGCTAGATAGTACATCCATGGGGATGCCGTCACTACACCCAATTAGAATAGCTTGAGTGGGCCCAACGGCCGGGCTGCCAATAATTTGGAGGGTCCAAAGCAGGGGTCCAGCCACTTAGAAAGCAGGTCGCTCATTTCCATCACCACATGAACGAGTGAAGCAGCAGGTGCAAAATCAGTGACCCACGATAACGGCCCAAAAAAAAACACAGAAAGAGCGATTGCCATGTAGAAAAAAAAAGAGCACCCTGGCCAGGCAGGTGCTATGCTGTGCAGAAAATCCCCTTGACCGCCTTTCTTTGTTTACCTTGCCTCACCTTTTACCGACAATTCCCTTCCGGTCCTACTATCCCGTACTCCTCCTCCTCCTACTCCTCACCGTTGCCTCACTCCCCAAGGAAACCTCGAGGAAAGTCGACTCACCGACGTTCATGGGTCTTGCCTGCATTGCACCTTTCCCCCAAAATCTTCAACCATTAACCAATCTTATCCCATCAACTGCCCTGCCCGCCTCTCTACCTTCCCTCGACTGAACCGACAACAGGCCCCCCTTCCACTGAGTTCAGTCTGACGAGAATTCTCCATCATGGGCAACGTTGTCTCAGTCTTCTCACCCAGCAACGGCCACCAGCTTGAGGGCTCTGCTGCAGAGCTCGAGCAGAAGCTTGCCGACCGTGAGGAGACCATCACTGTCCTCGAGGAGGATCTTTCCAAGAAGGAGAAGCAGTACACCTCCCTTTCCGAGGAGGCCGAAGACTTGCGCAAAAAGATTCAGGAGCTCGATGCCCAATTGACATCAACCAAGCAAGAGAACAAATCTCGCATCGCCACTCTCGAGTCCGAGCTTGCCACCAGCAACGACAAGATCAACCACCACCTTCAGGCCAACGGCGACGCCAACACCCAGCGCGCCCAGGAGCTTGACAACGCGAACAAGAAGCTTGCCGCTCTCCAGGAGCAGCTCGATAAGGTTCAGCAGGAGAAGAAGGCTCTTGAGGATGATCTTGCCGCCGTGAAGGAGCAGCTGGCTGAGGCCAAGAAGGAGCGCGAGACCCTCGAAGTCTCCCTCCGCGACGAGCTCAAGGCCCTCCAGGAGCGCCTGACCGATGCCGACCAGGCCCGATTCACCTTGCAGGAGACCCTCGACAAGATCAAGGCCGAGGCCGAGTCCGCGAACAAGTCCCTCGGCGAAAAGGTTGCTGCCGTTACCACCCTCGAGGGCAAACTTTCCGACCTCGAAGGCCAGCACTCCAAGCTCAAGTCCGACACCGAAGCCGAGCTCGCCACCGCCGGCAGCAAATACACCGCCCTTCAGGAGGCTCTCGACAAGCTCAAGGCCGACACCGATTCCGATCTCGCCGCTGCCAAGAAGGAGTTGAGCGATGCCCAAGAAAAGTTCACCGCTCTCCAGAAAACCCACGACGATCTCCAGAGCGGTTCCAGCGCCAACGTATCTGCCGCCCAAAAGGACCTCACCGATGCCCAAGAAAAGCTTGTCGCTCTCCAGTTGACCCTTGACCAACGTAAGACGGAAGCTGATGCGGACCTCGAGGCCGCCAAGAAGGAGCTGCTCGACGCCCAGACAAAGTTTGTCGAGCTCGAGGATAATCACAACAAGCTCAAGATCGGTTCCGAGGAGCAGGTCGCTGCCACCAAGAAGGAGCTGGCCGAAGCGCAGGACAAGGTTGCCAGCCTTCAACAGACCCTCGATGGCCTCAAGTCCGACTCCGCATCCGTCTTGTCGTCCACCCAGAAGGAGCTTGCCGACGCCCAGGAGAAGCTTACTGCTCTCCAGCAAACCAACGACAAGATCAAGGCTGAGGCGGATGCAGACCTGGCGACTGCCAAGAGCTCCCTCGCTCAGAGCGAAGACAAGTACGCGAAGCTGCAGGAGTCGAGCGTGGCGGAGCTCGAGTCAGCCAAGAAGAGTGTTGCCGAGTGGGAGGACAAATACAACAAGCTGGAGCAGTCGCACAAGGATGCTCAGTCTGCCTCTGGTACCGAGCTTGAATCTGCAAAGAAGTCTCTGGCTGAGTCCGAAGAGAAGTACACCAAGTTACAGGAGATTCATGACGCCGAACTGGCGGCTGCCAAGAAGGGCGTTTCCGAATGGGAGGAAAAGTACAGTGGCTTGGAAAAGACTCAGAAGGAAACGCAATCCGCTGCCACCGCAGAGTTGGAATCCGTGAAGAAGAGCCTAGCCGAGTCCGAGGAAAAGTACAAGACGCTGCAGGAGGCGCAAGCACAGACCCAGTCAGAATCCAGCGCAGAGTTGGAGGCTACCAAGAAGAGTGTTGCAGAGTGGGAAGAGAAGTTCAACGCTCTCAAGCAGACACAGGAGAAAGCCCAGTCTGAAAGCAGCGCTGAAGTTGACGCCGCCAAGAAGACTGCTGCCGAGTGGGAGGAGAAGTACACCACCTTGCAGCAGGCCCAGGAGAAGGCTGCGTCTGACTCCAGTGCCGAGATTGATGCCGCGAAGAAGAGCGTGACGGAGTGGGAGGAGAAGTTCAACGTCCTCAAGCAAGGACAGGAGAAGGCCCAAGCCGAATCTAGCGCTGAAGTCGAGGCCGCGAAGAAGAGCGTTGCGGAGTGGGAGGAGAAGTACAAGGTTCTCCAGGAGTCGCACGACAAGGCACAATCCGATGCTGGATCTGAGCTCGCCTCCATCAGGCAGAGCCTGGCCGATGCCGAGACCAAGCACAAGTCAGAGCAGGAGTCCCACGAGAAGGCCAAGGCCGATATTGAGGCGGAGCACACTACCACAAAGAAGTCTCTCTCTGATCTCGAAGAGCAGCATGCCGCTCTGCAGCAAACCCACGACAAGACGAAGACCGAGTCAGCCGAGGAGTCCTCGCGTTTGAGCAAGGAGCTGGCGGACTTGCAGAGCAAGTATGCCGACCTTGAAAAGTCTAGCGAGAGCGTCAAAAAGGACGCATCTACTGAGCTGGAGAGCGCTAAGAGGGAAGCTGCCAGCTGGCAGGAGAAGGCCGAGAAGTCGACCTCTGCTGTTGACTCATTGACGAAGGACCTCGAGGACTCCAAGAAGGATCTGGCTGCCGCCGAGGCGAAGCACGCCGCTGAACTGCAGAAGCTGCGTGAGGAGCTCACAAAGGCTGCCAGCGTTAATGGCGACAAGCCCGCCGCCGAGCCTGCAGTGGAGGAAGCCAAGCCCAAGGAGGAGGCTGTTGCTGCATAAGTGTTACTGGAATTCCATTGATGACTGGGAAGATCTGTGTACAAAGGTGAAGGGCGAAGTCGACCAGGCCCCAGGGGAAGGACATACACCAAACCGAGATACCAAACAAGAGTGCCACGAAGTTGTACTTAATAAACTAATCCCCCATGAACTAGATACGAATCATGACACGTGAATTGACTTACTTTGCCTCTTCAATGACCATACGATCCGATGCGCAAAAGACCCGCGATGTTCGTGATAGTGTGCCAGATCTATCTTCACCATGCTCATGTGTCCTTGACACATTTCCACCTCAGACTGCCTCGCAAACAACTGAGCAGATGACAAGATCTACTGCTCAATTCCACCTTTCATCCAAGTGAGTCTCAAGCATCACAATCGTAATTATTGAAGGTATGAACACTGGCATTGGGCATCGTTTTCGTCACTCGTCTCCGCCGAATAGACACTGGCTGTCACTGCTATACGTTTTCAAGACTGAAAGGTTCAATTCCATCTGATTGCCTCCTCCTAGGCATTTCGATCGGTGCTTGCTTGTAGGCTTACGGCAGCTCGAATAT